GCTTTCCCCGCTGACGTGATGGTCTGTTTCAGTAGAAGAGGCTACTGTCATGGCGGTTCTGGGGGGAGGGCGGCTTACTCCACCTGGCCGGCTTACTCCACACACTGATCCCGCAGATCTGGTCAGCAATGCAGGACGATCGGCCGGAACGTCGGGCGGGCCCGCATTCAGCTCTCAGGCCCCGCTAAAGGTTGTCCTTGGTTTGGCGGGAGGGGGATTCCTGACCATGCCCGGCTCACTCGCCGTCCTACGTTCCGCTGGGGTCCCACCAATCCTGGACGGGTGGCACACAAAATGAGAAATGACAATATATACACATGCACGCACAAGCAGTATGACGACCCTGTCGCACGAAAAAAAAAACACTTAGCAGCGCACTTTACACTCGTTGAACCCCGTCGTCTAACATCCACAGGGAAATTTTTCATTTTTTGAAATTTCATTTTCAAATTTCAAACATTCACGAGAGACGCCGCTCGTTATGCAAAGGACCGCTGTTCTGCCGCTGTGTGCACCGCCGGAGGGCACAGGTTATGATCCATGCAGGAAGATCGGCCACTGGTCTGCGTATCAGCGTATGCTTGAGACAAACAGGCAAGACCTGCAGGCTTACTTCACTCACGGGGTTCATGCACAGCGATATCAGTCTGTATTTCACACATTTGGCGAGGCGTGGCAACGTGCAGGTTATCCCGTGCGCGAGACACATGGTCATTCTTTGGGAGGCCAGTAACTACTCTGGCAATGAAGTTAACGACTCGAAGCACTCTGGCCTCCTTAACAACCGACCCCTGGTCATGCGCTGAAATGCAGTATTTCACGCGCGAGGTGACTCGACCCTGCACCATGGTCAGCGGCACTTGTTGCGGGAAGAAATGTCTCCGGTGGCGGATACCGATCAGGACGCCGATGCGCTTTGCTACTACATCACTGAGTGTGCGTTCCGGCTCAGGTGGCGGCCAAATAGCGTACCAAGCTCGTCACGGTCAGGCTGTCCCGACCGGTTGCCGCACCGACCCGTGCGCTAACAGGGGAAAGCCCGCGGATGTTCTGTCTGGCACCAAGGGGAAGAACTCCTGTTTTGGATGCGTCGAACTTGAGAACGTGGACATAAATCCACGATGCTAGCGAGGAGAGGGCGGTTTCCATGCGTTGGATGAGGGAAGGAAGGTTGCGTTTAACATCTGATATGAGCGTCCGAGTGTCGTCAGCGCACTGTGTCGCATAAGCATCTGGCACGTGCAGGCTGAGGTTGTTGGCGAAGTTGTGAATAAAAGAGGACTGAGGGCTGCTCCCTGGAAGGTTCCCATGGTATTGGGGGAAGAGCTTGGGGACCACTCTGTCTTCTGAATCGGGTAAATCGCAGAAGGTAAGGCGGATGCTGATAATATGGGAAAGGATAAGGCCTGTAAACCGCAGAGTCAGTCTGGATCTCTTCTTATCCTCCGGTCCAGGATAAGAAGAGATGCAGACTGACTGCGAATGGCGAGAAGATGGGTCATTCCCAGTCAGTCATACGTAGGTAAGAGGACCAAGCCGAGTCAATGTTATAGAGCTGGAGGTTGGAAAGGAATTGAATGAAAAATGACGTTGAAACGTGTACTGAGATCCAAGAGGCCTAGGAGTGAAAGATGACCACAATCTATGTTGGAAAAGATGCGGTTGGTCACGGTGAGAAGAGCAGTCTCAGTGGAATGGGGACGAAAATTATGCTGGGATGAGGACAGAAGATGATTGTTGGACATGTAGTTGGACACCCGGCGCTGCACCACACGCTCGACAATCTTAGCCATGGTAGGAGCGATGAAAGTAGGACGGTAATTGGAGACCAGGGTTGGACCTCCGGATTTGAAAATAGGATGAACCAGGGAGTGCTTCCAGGAATCGGATAAATCGCAGGAGGTGAGGCGGATGTTGATGAGATGGGGGAAGGCTAGGGCCGATGACGTCAAAACAGAGGGGCCGGACACGAATACAAACGCCATCAGGTCCACACGCCCCAGAACGCCTCATGGAGAACATGACCTCGTACAGTCCGCTAAGGGTCACGCCAATCACCCGGAAACCGCAAGCGCGCACCCCGGGCGAGCAAAATGGGGCGTCAGGTGGCTGTCCGGCCAGCCGACCGGCCAGGTCGGCTGCAACGCGGGGACCGGCATTCGCAAAACAAGGATTTATCTCGTTCAGGATCGCGGCTGGGGTTTCCCCCGCTAGCAGCGGACGGATCTCGCTCGGGACCGCGGCTGGGGTTTTCCCCCGCTAGCAGTGGACGGATTTCGTTCGGGATCGCGGCTGGGGTTTTCCCCCGCTGGCAGCGGACGGATTTCGCTCGGGATCGCGACTGGGGGTTCCCCCCGCTGGCAACGGGCGGATCTCGCTCGGGATCGCGGCTGGGGTTTTCCCCGCTGGCAGCGGGCGTATCTCGCTCGGGATCGCGGCTGGGATTTTCCCCCGCTGGCAGCGGACGAATCTCGCTCGGGATCGCGGCTGGGGTTTTCCG